TTAATGAACATTTACAGAGATTTTGGGTTTTCATTCATCCTTTGTTGCACTGTGCAATCTCTTATTTTAATATAATGTGAATGAATGCTTTATAATCTAAAAATTGATTCACATGTCCCTATTATCAAACTGTGAAATAATCACTAATTTTAAAAAGTCCCCTAAATATGTTCTATTAATTTTCTTGACTTTTAAGGTATCAAAAATACGGAAACATTTTAATATAGCAGAACATTTAATTGCATCCGTTTCCAATCAACACCCGAGAGTCACATTTAACGGTGGTTATATCGGCCATTTCCACTGATTGGCAGGAGGCTCCTCCACCAATGGCTCCCACTGTATCATTTTTCTTGCCAAACTTAATTCACTTTCAGCCTGAAAAATGACTTCTTCAATTTGTCCCCCTTGAAGCTGTTGTTCTAATTTTTTAACATCTGGTTCCGCTTTAACCATGCTCAGCTTTGCATTTGTAATCTCCTCGGTATACTTTCTGTACGCTGCATTTTTAGGGATTTGCTGAAGAACATCAAGGATCTTTGTGTATAATATTCTTAGTCTCTCATGCGGAGTGTTACACACAGCCAATCCCACAAGGCCAGTGGTCTTCTTCAGTAGCCCCGCCATGACAGCTCCGCCCCGCCCCCGGCGCGCAGGCTTCTGTAACTTAACATTTTGAACTAAGAATCTATGTGGTGGCTACTCTGCTTTAAATCAGCATTAGTAGCAAAATTATCTGGAAGAACTGACTTTCAGGATAAGCTTTAGAAAGCCTCTGCGAGGCTAGCAGGCAGCCAGGCCTGGAGATTCAGGCTTGCCCTTGCTGTTGAGGACCTTCTGAGAGAGACACACACAGCCAGGCCATCTACAGACAAGAGCAGGTCACTTAGCTTTTCCTTGGGGTCAGAAGAGTTCTTAGCTTCTAAGTTGACCAAGTAAAGAAAATCAGAGTTAGGTGGTGGAGAGATTGTACGGCAAAAAGTATGTAAACTGGCCAAGAATTGGACAATAAAGTATCAATATAGCATTTCTAGCATCTGAGTTGGTTCTACTTCGATGGTACTTAACATCAAAGTATAATAAAAATGCTTTATTAGGATTTCCTTTTTTATGACTATAATCTAGGAGCTCTGGTGACACAGTAGCAAAGCATTCAGTTGCTAATTGAAAGATTGGGCACTGAAACAACCAATTGTGGGAGAAAAAGGCCATCTGTTTCCAGAGATTTTAGTCTTGGAAACCCTATGGTTTCTATATCAGGTCCCTATTAGTCAGAGTCCACTTAAAACCAAAATTCAGTGTGTCTCACTGTGTTTCAGTCACTTGACAAATACTAAGCTCTCCAGAGTGCTTGAAGAGCAACAACGTCAGTCTAGAAGCTAAGGTGCGCCTGATCCAAAGCAGGGTTTTCACAATTACTTGTTATGCATTAGAGAACTGGACAATGACTAAGGATGACAGAAGAATCAATGCCTCTTAGTTGTGGTGCTGAAGAGTACTGAACATCCCTTGGACCACTAAGAGAACAGGTCTGTCACGGAGAGGGTCAAACAAGGTTGCTCCTTAGAGGCAAGGATTTTAACACTCCATGTCACATACTTCGGGCATGTTGCCAGGAGGTATGTTTGGAGGACATCATGCTTGGAAGGGTGGAAACAAAACTGGAGAGGAAGACCCTGGATGAGATGGACTGACACAGTGACTATGTTAATAGAAGCAGGTATATCAGATAGAGTAAGACTGGCTGAGAATAGGGCAATGTTCAGAGCTATTTTGCATAGGGTTGCTGTGAGTCATAATCAACTAGGTGGCAAATAACAATTCTCCAGCCACCTGAGCAAAGTAAACTCAAGCAAAGGAGCGGTAATCTACACATAAGAAAACACACCCAAAAGGTAGTGTTGCAAACAGACATGTGTCCAAACTTTGAGTTTCATATAACGGGGGGGGAACGGGACGGGGACGGACGACCCAACAGACATTACCGCTGTGTGCCTTAAATGAAAACATGACTCGCTGTGATGCTTAACCACCTTGAGAAAACTGCATTCGATTCACCTGCAAATGTATGGTCTGCATTAGATTTTGTTGTTAGGTACCATCAAGTACAACTCATAACAACCCTACAAACAATAGATCTGAGCCCTATCCGATCCTGTGCCATCCTCATCATCTCGGACTCTCCAGCCCATTGCTGCAGTCACTGTGTCAGCTCAGCTGGTTGAGGGAATTCTCTCGTTGATCCTACCCCTCTTCAAGGAGTAGCTTCTCCTAACAACATATCCAAAGTCTGTGAGACAAGGCTTTTTCATCTTTACCCTCAAGTAGTACTCTGCTGGTTTTCTGGCAGCCCATCAGATATTCAATATTCTTCAGAAATACATCAATGGAATAAAAACCAAACAAAAAAACCCCCAACTCCTCAATTTTTTTTTCTTTTTTTTTAAAAAAAATCTTTGATTTAGTAACAGGGAATTTTCTGTGAGGACTTCCACCTTAAGGGGACACCCAGTTAACAGATCCCAAAGAACGGTGTTTTCTCCCACCCACAGAAACAGCAGCACAATTTCACAACTGGAGCACTCCAACCTACAGGCTTCCCGACTAGGATTCTTAATAATTCACAAAAAACACCAAGGAGATGCAACTGAGGGGCTAGCAGGACACCATGAAGCCCTGACTTGGAGGCTGTCCTGGTGAACCCTGGAGGCTAAGCCCCAGGGGCTGGCTGGGTTCGCTGGTTCCCCACCATGACACCTCGCTGATGTAAACGCAACCTGCGCCTTTCTTCCAGTTCTTTTTGTATCCTGTAGATTTTCTCTGCCAAAAAATAGTAGTATTCATCCTGAAAAATAAACAACACCCAATATTTTGGAGTTGGAACGCATTATCCTATGTTCTAACAAACTAATGAACTTCTGAAATGATGTATTTTGTCAAAGGTTAAGCAGGCAAACCTGTTAAGTAATAAACCAAAGGCCCAAATATTTACTGCCCTATCAGATAGGAAGTACAAGGCATATATTGTATTTCATTCCACAACTGAACCTCTCCTTGGATACTCCTCACTTCTGACAACAGAGCAGCCATTTTCAGAGTCTACACTACAGGTGGGATGTGGTTCTATACACCCTATTGACCACCCAGGGACTATATGTAGTTTCACTTCTCATGGTAAGTCTCCCTGGTCAGTCTCCTTAAGATACAGTGTGTCCCGGTTCTAGTTTACATACATGTTTAAGTGAACTGACTACGCTCACATGGCAGAGGCTGGAACATCATGTGGCCACCTACCCGGCTGTTAGCAGACTCATACATGTCCCCTTCCACCTTCTTTGCATAGGCGACCAGGTTCTCCATCCGGGGATCCCGCAGTGCTGCTGCATTAGGGGTTGGAAAGATGGCTTGGACACTGAAAGAATGGAGAACTTCATCAACCTTCTTTTTTGGGGGGTTTTCTTTATTGTAATTTAAGTGAAAGCTTACAAAGCAGATTGGTTTTCCATTTAAGTATGCATATATATTTTGTTTTATAATATTGATTACAAATAGCCACAATATAAGCATTCTTACCACTTTCTTCCCATGCTTCTCATTTCCATTAATCTTTCTATCATACCCTTCCTGTCTTCTGGGCAAATGCTGTTTTAATTTTATTTACAAGGCTAGTTATGTTATGAAGGGAGGGCCCCTCTGGTTCTATTTGCCATACAAGCCTGTGCATTCTTTGGCTGAAGGCTGAGCAACAGCACTGAGTTTTGCTTCCAGTTTGAAGGGTGTCCAAGGGACAAGGGACAGTATTAGGGACTCCACCACTCTCCAGTAGATTGATATGACTGACTGTTTTTGAGTTTGGTTCAAATTTCTCTTCAGTCTACCTACGATTTTCTACTATGATTACGAGACACCTTAGATGGCTCACTGGCTCCTAAGAGCCCACTTCCTACTCACCAAAGTAGGACACAGACCATTGTTTCTGTGATCTATTATGCCAACTGTCATTGGTGTTCCCCAATCTATGGTTTTGAGGCCCTATAACCAACAGTTCATTTCTTCAGTGTTTAGTTGAGAAAGAATTTTATAAAACTTTTCCCCCTATTGACTCAGTTATAAACATGGACATATTTACAGTACATAGTATGAAAGAGAGCTCTGGTGGCCTAGTGGCAAGAAGCTATGCTGCAATACTGAAGGTGCATGGTACAAATCCACCAGATGCTCTGCTGGAGAAGGAGGGGCAATCTCCTCCTATGCCAGTCGGATCTGATTCAACAGTACACAAAAAGAAAAAACAAAATACAGTACATAATATGAATATAGAAATATAATTTATGAAACCTACATACAGTTCTGAGTACATTCCACCTGTCCAAATCTGTTCGTCCTGCCTGAGATATTTATTTACAGTTTTGTTATAATTCACCAATACTTTGTCTGTTTTGTTAATTTCTTTGTTATCTACATTTCTGTTTAGAATAAATTTTTTATATCATTTCCTTCATTGTAGTGTGTTTCCTAAGTCTTCATGATTTTCTACGTTTGATAGTTTGAATGAGTTGGCATAATAATTTTCTTTAAGTTTATTCTATAGATTACTATTTTATTCCTAAGTCTAAAATAGTTCACTCTATCTTGAAATCAGTTTGACTCCTTCTCCATTTGGAGTTCTGTCACTGCTTTTCTATTTTTCAGTTGTCTTCATTTATGTTCCTTACATGAGCGTAAGTAAGTGTTCTGGGATTTCTACTGTTCTTCATTTTAGCCACAGTTTTGTTATGATCCACAGTCAAATGCTTTGTGCAGGCAACACAGACAGACATTCTTCTAGTAACCCCTGTTCTCATCCAGGATCCATCTGACATCAGAATAATATCTGTGCTGCCAAAGCCTCTTCTAATACCCACCTGAAATCCTGACAGTTCTCTATCAATGTACCGTTTTAATCGGTTTTGGATGATTTTCAGCAATATTTTACTTGGATGTGATATTAATGATATTAGTTTGATAACTTCAACATTCTGTGGACCATCTTTCTTGGGTGATCCAAACTAAGGAAAGACTACAATTCTATGGTAATCTAGATGGCTAACTTCACCTATAAGTTAATTGGTTAAAGAAAACCACTTAATAGATTTTAATTTAAAACACACACACACACTCTCTTTCCACTTTCAGGTCTAACTGTGATAATCTTGAACAAAAAGCAAGACACCAACATCTCCACACATAACAGATACGGGAGCTGCTGGCCTGCCCAGGCTGGCACGTGACTGTGACCTCAACACCAGCACATGATCTAACAGGCCAAGACTAGCGGCTGTTTCAGGAACTAAATCTCACATCCATGATTGCAAAACTGCTACACTGCCTTCAGCCACAGTGTTCACACCACATAAGAATCAAGGGTACGTACAATTTATGCACAAGATGGTTGCGGAGGTGCTGAGGGACGTGTTCATGCCAGCGTTTCCGAAAGCCAGTGCAGAACGGTGGTGCTACTCCAGGTACAGCTTGGAGGGTCCCACTGTTCCCAGAGTATGACCCACCATACATCAGCAGGCTAGAGAAAATCAAAGAGACTAAATACTTCTACTAATATGACTTAAAGTATGCTTCCTGCAGTCAAG